TCGGCCTGGCTGGCTCGGGCAGACGCATTGCGGGGCGGCGGGAGCCCGGGGGCTGGAGGGGAGCGCGCCGGCTCCGTCCGTCCATCCCTGAAGGCGGGTTTCCCCGGGGCGCCTGCCCAGCGCCTCTGTTTCGTGATGAGGCTTGAGGGGTGCAGCCTGCCCGGGCAGGGGTTGTGCGATCCTCCAGGTGCAGTCGTGATGGACCGGACACTTCACAGTGGCAAGGATTTAAAAAAAAAACCCACAAAAAACCCCCCAAAAAACAAACCAAAAAAAATATTTTTTTATATAAGCTTTGGACAGTCGCAAAGATTTAAAAAAAAAAAACAACTTTTTTTTAATATATTAGCTTTGGACCACCGAATATGTGCCCGGTTTGTGACCCGGTGGAAGCGGGAGGAAGGATCTCCTTCAAGGGAGATGAGAATACTTGTATTTCTTCTTCTGTAAAAGAAAAAAAAAAAAAAGACTTAATCTACCCACTTCTTCAGCAGAGATTTTTTATTATACGGGTCCGCATGTAAATGCTTGTCGTTATAGTTAATGTTTCTCTGCAGTTTCTTGTTCTCACAACCCAGGTTTATGAGCAGCTTGCAGCTGGGAGATGCTAGAGTTAAATGCTGGACTGCTACATTTTTTTTTTTTTTTAAATAGCTTGCTGCCATAACAAAATCAGCCCTCCGTCCATCCATTTTTTTGTACAGCTACAGTTAAGCGTGTTGCTCCCATTGAGGATTTTTAGTGCGTATAGTTGCCTCTTAAAATGCTAAAAGGTAGATTTAGTATTGGGAGTAAATTCTGGAAAGCAAACGGCTTTCTGCAGCAGTCGGTCATCTAGGAGAGGTGCGCGAGATCAGCTAGACCGTCACAGGAAGACTTCACGTTCGCACATTTTGGTGCCTTGCATGAGGATTATTAAGTTGGTCAGTCGCATGTTAAGAGGTGACTGCGGGAATGCAAGTTCCCGTGTGTATGTCACTCAGACTAATCAGATATTAGAGGCTATGCAGTGAAAATGTTTGTCATCCATTTTTGACAGCAGAGATGGACTCATCTGTTTCAGTCTCCAGCTGTCTTACCCCCCCTGCAAACACTGCTAGAGAATGACCTTGAGGATGGGGAGCAGTTTTGTATTAAATGAAGGAAAAGCCATTTAATATGGAATTCAGTTTTGTTCATGCTGCATCTACAAAATTTGAGTCCTGGCTTGAATTTGACCAGAGTGCTGTTTTAACACTTTAGCTGCAATTCCTTCCTGTCTTCATTCTTTAAAATAACTAATCCAATAACAATTTACACCAAGGAGTTGCTGCTGTTCACATTGTAAATAATGTATGCAGTGGCACTGTACAGCTTGTACATCTAGTGTCTAAAATGTGCATTTACAATGTAAATTATTAAATTATGTCTTCAGTGTTTTTTAGCCACTCCTGTTGAACAAAGAATTGGTAATTTCAGGAGTTAAAACTTTTCAATATCACAGTGAAAAAAACGATTAGTGGAAAGAGATAGATGCTTGCTTTGAAAAACTGCTGCTTAATTCATTGGTTAAGTGCTCCACTCTGTTTATCAATAGAGTCAGATTAGAAATTGAATGGCAGTGGAGAAAGAGAATGCCTCTCTAAATGAGAAGGCAATGCATTTAGTAACTGCTTCTGCAGTCATTTACTGACTGACCAGGTGCAATGTTCAGCTACTTGTTTGACCTCAGGCTTTAGAGACTGTCCTGACTGAGTGATAAATATAGGGGAATAGAACATTAGCAAGCAAAACAGCACTATGCCCAGGAAGTTTTGAGTAATTGTGGAGGTTTCCTGTGGCGGTATGACTTTCTTAATGTAAACCACAAACCACTTTCTCACCACCACTTTTTTTTTTTGGTAACTTTTGTACAGTGACCAGTCCTTTTACTGGTAGTTTGCTTTCTACTCTATTTTCAGGAAAGGGGAAAGGTCAGAAAGTCCAGCCGGGGGGGGGGTAGGGTAGTTTAAAAAGGGACTGGGTTGTAACTTTGTAACTTCTACATAGACTCCTTCCTTTATGCACCTAAAATAACTGTTGAAGGAGGCCTCTAAATTACAGAGAGATGCTTTATGCTGTAATATATGTGCCATGCCTTTTCTAGGATTATAAGGTCACTTCGTGTTGGAGACAAATCAGCAAGTACTTGTTTCATCTAGTATAGAAGAAAAGTGACACAGGCTCATCAATAATGGATGGAAGATACTGGTACTGGAGAAATATTTTCTCTGGCTTTAGAGAGTTAGCATTGACATCAAGAGTCAAGTAATTATAGTGAAGCCACTTAACTGATAAAACCCACCCTAGGAAATTTCTTCACCCACCTTTGTAGACACTTGTGGCCCAAAACATGTGGGAAGGTTGCAGACACAAATTTATGACTTAAAAAAATGTAGCTTTTTTAGTCCGGGTCTACTCACTCCCAGATAGATCGCCTAATGTGTGCGTCTCAGCACTGTAGGAAACCCTTCAGCAAAAGATCCCATTCAGACCTCCATACATGAACTCACTGGAGTAGAATTATCCACTTCTGCTTTAATTGCATCACAGCAGATATTAGCATCTTTTCTTCAGGATTGTAGGAAAAAATGAGATGCATCATAAAGGATGCAGATACCTAAGGATTTCTTAAGAGACCATTTTTAGATGTGTCCATAACATATCTAGAGGATGTTGGTTATCTCCTTATTGGTCTGGGGCAGAGATTTTCAACCTTTTTTGGTCAGGGTAACCCCCAGTGGCCAGTTGACAAGCGGGAGGGAGGAGGTCCTCTGCATGTAGCCTTGATTGAAAACCCCTAGCCTAGGGACATAGGCAGACCAGGCTTAAGTTTCAGTTCTACCCAAGAGAGTATGCAGACACCGGCGGACTCTCCCTGTTCCTGAAGGAGGGTGTTTGTGCCCGAAAGCTTGTAAAGAACCATTTTTCCAAATATTTTGTTGGTTATAGAAGATAACACTTACACAAAGAACTTTTTTTTGCATAACATCTTTATTCTTTTCACCCTTTTTTTGCTTCTACTTCTTGTTTGTTTCACATGCTTTTATTTTGGGTTTTTTTCTTCAGTGTGAGCCTTCACAAACTGGAGTTTTTTGACACCACTCTGTTTTACCTTAGAGAGGCAAGGTGTGGAGAATGCCATGTCGCTCGACTATCTCTTGCCTCAATTGAGTACTTACTTAAACTACTGGAAATACGTAGATAGGGTTTTTTTTGTTTGTTTGTTTTGTTTTGTTTTTGTTTTTTTAGTGTCAGCAGTTTATGCCCCTCCCGCCCTCAAGAGTTGTCTAAAATTGTAACTTCCCCTATGACTATTGGGTCAAAAATAATTAAGTAGACATATATGTTGTGGTATATTCTGCACCTGTTGTTTTGGCCACAAGGTAGTCTCTTACCCATATATGTTAGGCTGCATCTGTGACTTGAATGATTCATTGTACAGAGTGCATCCCACCATGCTTAAAGTAGGGGTCCTAAATGTTGCTTATAACAGACAGACAGGGTTCTTTGGGTAAATCGGATATCTCTTATTAAACCAACTCCGCATGGCTACATCCTACACCCCTGCTTGTAACAGAAACATTTGTGTGTTGCCATTTCTTCCAGCTGTTCAACTCAAATATGTTGATCTTTAAATGCTGTAACAAGGGTGGCAACCTGCAGTGTGAGTGCCATAAGTGATACGGGCAGCTTTGGTGTGTGCCATGTGACAGATCAAGTTAGGAACAGGCAGCACAGCAGCAGATAGTGCAGGAAGGCGGCAAAGCAGCACATCAGCTAGAAGAATGAGATTGGCTTGGCGCTTGGGGATAGCACAGGGCTGATTTGTTGCATGCCTGCCAAAAATGTTGGCCCCCACGGCTGTAGAGTTTCAGCCAGCAGAGTGTTAAGTAGTCTTTAAATATTCTGGAGGAAGGGACCTGCTGAAGTATGAAGACTGTAAAGGGTTTTTGGTTGTAGCCATGTTGGTCTAAGGACATACATAGGCAAGGTTCACATCTACCCAAAGAACCTTGCCAAGACCATGTGAAGGCAGACAAGGTTCTTTGGGTAAACGGAATCTTTTATTAGATCAACTAAGTAGTTGGAAAAAATATTCTTTGCTAAACTTTGCTTTGCTAAGCTTAACAAAGAATATTTTTTCCAACTACTTAGTTGGTCTAATAAAAGATATTGTGTTTACCCAAAGAACCTTATCTGCCCATCTTTTTAGACCAACATGGGTACAACCAGCACCCTCAAAGACTATGTAAAAATCTTTTGAGAAGGTACTGCAGTTGCAGCTTGCTGAATTATTTTAAACAATTATCCTCAGTTATCTGGAATATGTTTGTAATCTCTGGGAGCAAGAGGATTGTGTTTGGTGTTCGTTGTGGATGTACCTATAGCTGCATCTGGGTACCTAGGCTAGTATCTTAAAGTAGTTTTTCACACTGTCTTGATTAAGTGGGAGCTAGGCAGAACCAGTGTCAAAGTTAATATGAGACGTGTAAACCAATATTATCTAATTTCATAAAAGCTGAACTAGTACGTCTTGACGCACAGTAAAGCATATTTTGTATGGGCAACATTTACATAAGTATCCAGTTGAGATGAGATGAAACATGCTTCACCCTTCTACCAAAATGACAGTTTGCAAAACCAAAATGAAATAAACATAATCTATTTTTAGGTCTGGGAAGAATAACTTGCTGTACCTATATCAGTCAGCAGATTTCTCAAGCCCTGATATTGGATATAGCCAATGGCAAGGGTTTATATTTTAGTTGCATGTAACTGAAAGATACTGGGATAACACTCAGTGCTCCTAGAGTTGTAACCTCTGAATCATGTGCTACTGATATGAAGTAGGTGGTTGGTGATCTTTCTGGGAGGGTGCTGTCTGACTTCTTATTGACTTTATGCTGGTCACAGTTTTGTTAACAACAGTGCCATGGCAGTTTTCCAGAGGGTCACATTATGACTTTTCCCACCTCCCACAGTTGTAAGGAATGGTAACTTTTAAGTCTAAACTAGAAAAATGGTTAAAGTTCCTGAGAGCGTCCTACTTCAGAGGGCAGGTTTCAAACCAAGTATTCATGTCAGTTGTCCTCGACTGCTTTAGTATCATTGGTCCAATGACCTCTAAATATTGCCAACATGAATCATTCTCAAATCATTTAGGCCTCATCACCCCTATTTTATGAATGCAGTAACTTAAATATGATGACAGGAGACATTCATGCCACACAGTAAACCTGAGAGAGCTTGGAATTATACATAAGCCATTAAGCATCCTGTGTGTGCAAATGGCATCTTATAAACACATTTATTTGGATTTCCAAGTGCAAATTAAACAATACAGTGTCCCAGGGAAAAGGAGGGGCTGGGGGGAGGAAGGAATCAATAT